TATTAGAAACATGAACTTAAGAAATTCAATAAGTATTGTTTTTCTGAAAGTTAAGATGTTTATGAATACATGTCGAAGCTAGTGGGAGCATAAGTGTTATGTTTTATAATAATCATCATGATAGTGGGAGCATAAATGTTATGATTGTATGATTATTAAGGCGTATTGCAAGTTGGCAATATTAATTATAGAAAACAAGAGTCATACTTTGCAAAGTTGTAAGAGTTGAAAGTTGTTTTGCTATAATTAAGGGAGAGAATATTATGCTTCATTTCAAATCTAAAGGATTAGGTTGTGGAATGTTAATAAATTTAGTCAAAGGTACATAGTGTGTTCTTAAAATTTCGATTATGATTACGGCATTCCTCTTCACAATTCGAATTTTGAGAACATAGAAAATAAAACATTGTGCATCGTGTCCCATACGCTTCGGGTATAGGATCGATTGCAAATGCTTTAATGTTTGACCATTCTAAAATTTTCCAAATGTCTAGTGCATTTAGAGGGAAAAGGGACTAGAATTGGTTTTGACTAAAATAATTAAACAACTATCAAAGGACAATCCAAAGTTCGACGAGGATTGGTCGCTTGTGAGTAGTTGGAAGTATAGTATTGGAAATTATGGAAATGTTTCCATATTGGATGGACAATATCGACATCATTACGAATAGATAAGATTCTATTAAGAAATTAGTTGTCATATGGAAAATATGGAAGCGTGTCCATATTGGGAAGTAAATATTGAAAATCTATGACTAGATTAGAAACCTTTATGCAAAAGGATGTTCAAAGGAATGTACTTTGAGTGAGAGACATCGTATCTAAGGAATTGTCTTGTAACAATCTCCGATAGAGGACTTTGTAATATCATTGGCAATAGTCTTTGAGACTTTGGTGCAGTGACATTACAAAAGGATCGTTGCATAAAGTGTTAGAATCTAGTATATTCTATAAGTAACAAGAATTTGATATTCTTACACTTAAGAAAATGGATTTGGAGTTGTAAAATGAGAATGATTGGAAATGTGTTCAATTTGTCTATTTCACAAAAGTAAGAACCATAGGTAAACATTGTGTGCATGCTAGGAGCATGGGACAAGTGTAATAATTCAAGTAAAAGTTGATTACCCGAAACGACAAATAATGAGTAATCGATATGGTGATAAATAAAACGTGTTTTGTTTATACTCAAAGGTTTGAGGCCATATGGGATTAGTATTATTCTTGTGTTTCACCTTGCATGTTTTGACTTCCAGAATAATTGAGTTTATTAAGAATAATCGAATTATTCAAACGGGCCACAGTCGTTCATATGTTGGAAGTAGATATGAATGAAGACTGTCGTGAATTGGTGTGTGGATTGTCTAAAAGAGTATTAGACATAAGCAAATGTTTGCTGCAACGTTCATGAGTGCTTATGAATATGATTTGAGCATTGGATTAAACCCACGCTCACTTGGATCACTATCTCGAGTGATTAGTGAGACGATAACATCTTATATTCTTGAAACCGAGATGTGTGAGTTGTATCTTGCTAATCGGTTGCACATTGATAATATGTAAACGCACTAGTAACTTGGTGTTATAAAACATATTGTTGTGTGTGATTTGGTTAGTGAGTGCAAGCAAGCATTGTATCAAAGTTTATCCGTTCCTTTTATTCAAAGAATAAAAGCGATATCTTTGGGCCCCTCGATGGTTTAGTGATGACATACGTAAATGCTCGGCCGGGCTAGGGCTAATTTGATTTGTTCAATTAGTCTGTCGTCATAAATCGGAAATCGAGATATAGTACAAAGAGAATGATTTGAAATCATATCTCATACGATATCTAGAATGGAGGAATATATGATCCCTTATCTAAGGACACGCGTATCTGATATGATCAGAGTTGACAGCGGCTTTGGAAAGCTACGATTGCAGATCAGGATCTGAAGTCATACGCAGAATAGTTGTTAGACTTATCCAAGTGGGAGACTGTTGGATTAGTGTCTAAGTCCATAACTATTTTGGTATGTACTTGACCCGATGGTGCATGGTCCTTTTGGGTTGCCTTCACCAAAGCAACTTGATAGGATGAATTATGGAGAGTAAGGATTAAATATGATTTATTAATATATTATGGGAATAATATATTAAAGGAGAAATCATATTGTTTAATTAATATTAGTCAATAATTAATTGGTAATTAGTTTTGTGACTAAAAGAGATTAATTAAACTTAAGGGACTGGAATTGTAATTATAAGATAATTGCAATTTGGGCCATGGATTGCCTTGTATTAAGGGATGGACGAATTCTAATGGGAAACCCATAAGGAAATCGTCCATGGGCTTAATTAAAGGAGTCTATGGGTTGCTTAGGGCTTAAGCATCCAAATTAGGGTTTCCTTGTTAGATAACCCTAATAGCCCAACTATATAAAGACCCCTTAAGGCTCAAAAACGTGGCCAATCTTCTTGTAAGGGTTTACACACGTTTTTGGCAGCCTCCATCCTCTCTCCTCTTCATCCTCTTGCTTATGGTGTTTGTGAGCCATTAGAGGAGTGACACTTGTGACTCTAAGCCTTCCAAAGTCAATACAAGGAGGAATTGGGATTGTTATTGCTACATAACAATCAAGGTATGATCTTAAACCTAATTACATATTAATATGATTACTTGTATGCTAGCATTAGGGTTTATAGTCTTGGATCCAAAGCATGTACAATAGAGAAACCTAGATCCAAGCATTAGGGTTTGTATGAGCACATAGGATGTCTTATGACCAAAACCCATCAGTAACAATCATCACATTGCTCACACGAACATCTAGTTTCACCTTTACAATCTAAGTGAAACATGGATCTCTTGACAAAAGAGTTGAGTCCTAGTTGGAACTCAGGAGATTGACGATGTGGATTAGTAGTCCAACTTTTATTAATACATGACGCAACTGAAAAAAGTTTAGTGTTTAAGGTTTACTCTACAGGAAACAAAAATCCAGTAAAGTATTCATAAAGTCGATGATTCAAAAAGTATCCCTAACACCGGAACAAATGAACAAATAATCAGAAATAGATAGAGTATTCACAAAGGTAGGCTTCTAAACCCACTTTTGAATACCTTATCTCATATGTGAACTTGTATTACATGATTGTATGTTTAATAAAAATTCGGCAGCATTTCCCCTTAGCTCCCAAGTGTGTGTGTGTGTGTGTGTATACTCGAAGAGAAAAGAGAAAATGACAACCGAATATTTCTTAAACAAAAAATCATGTAATACATGTTCACATTTGAAATGTATTAAATTGTTCAAAAAGCATTCCCAAAACGGGGACAATCCGAAATTAATTTCTAAATCAATTTTTGGCAGGTATTTTGCAATCCATTGATGATTATGAAGAATAAACTTAAACTAAAAATCAATGATTCCACATGTTTTAATAAGAAAATCATATTATACTGTACATTATTTAAACCATAATTTTAAAAGTACGATGTTATGATAGAAAATAAATAAAAGTATAATGTTATAATTAACAAAAGTATCATACTTTTGTTTATTTTCTATTATAACATCGTAATTTTAATATTATATTACATAATATTATGGTTTTAAAAATATACCGTTTAGTTTGATTATATAAGAGCAATTCCAACCTTAACACTATATTCTACACTATTTTTGTGTACATTTTACACCAAAACATTTTTCAATTCGAACCAGGCACTAAAAACTTACACCAAAAACATATTTTAATATTATAATAACATTATGATTATATTGTTTGTTATAACTATATTTAACATCTAGATTAATAATGGAAAAAATAATTAAATAGTTTTAAAAAACAACTTACGACTATGAATTAAGTATAAAACTAAAATACCACATTAGTGCATATATGTTTAAGTTTATTACAACACATGTTTTTATTATCTTCAGTTATTTTTATTTTCATAATATCCTAATAATTATAAGATATAAAATATGTATAATTATAAAGAATCGTTTTAGTGTAACGAAGCATAACAATATTTGGGTTTAATTTTCTAAATTAATTTATATTGATTTTATAATTAGTTTTATTTTATTTTAATATTAATATTAATCTGATTTTATAATTAATTTAATTTGATTGAAAATTAACTTAATTTGTCTTTCTAAATAATTTTACATTTTCTTTTTTTGTAATAAGTTTAGTTTCTTTAATTAGTTTAATTTGATTTTATAATTAACATTAATTTGATTTTATAATTAATTTAATTTGATTTGAAAATTAACTTAATTTCATTTTCTATATAATTTAATATTTTTTTTTGCTATTAGTTTATTTTTTAAATTTATTTAATATTATTTTATAATTAATTTGAATTTATTTTAATAGAAATATTAACTTTATTTTACGATTAATATTAACTTGATTTTATAATTATATAGCTTATGCTTTCAATACAAAGGAAGGAACTAAGAGATAGCTTTTATCAAAAGCACAAAATTTTTAAATGTTTTCCCTTTTGAAGTACATAACATTTTTGTTATAATTTTTGTGTGTCCATTAATTTTGGTATGAAATAAAATTCGATTTTTTGTTTTTTTGGATGTAGAAAGTTTATTTTATTTTATTTTGCAACCAACTTGTTTCTTACTTCATATTAACATGATAGCATGTGAAACTTTTTTTTTTTTTTTTGATGTGTGTTTTATTCATCTTGGTATTGATAATTCTAATATTACCTTATTATTCTTTTATTGATATTACTCTTTGTAATGTGTTGTATTTAACATGGTAGCATCCTATTCAATTATTCTTTTGGTGATATTACTCTTTGTAATATACATGCTTTGTTTTCCACACATTACATACATAGATACACACATTATACATATAAATACACATAAACATTTTCCTACACATATTCATTATAGCATCATACTTATTTTTCTATTATAGCAACCAAGTTTTTTTAATTTTTTCCATTCATACAAATCACATATATAACTTCAAAACTCATACACATACACATACACATACACATACATAAATAATACAGATACAAATAACACACAAACAATTTCGGCAACAATTCTAGTAAGATTTCCAAAATTCCAAATAATAACCATACAAATAAAACGCAAAAACATACAAATCGCATATATAATTTCAAAAGTCATGAAAAAGAACCTGTGCTAGTGTAATTTCGAAATTTTCCGGTAAGAATTCCAAATTTCCACCAACTGATCTGGCAAACCTAGATTTTCTGGCAAGGGTTCCAAAAACTTAAACTAAACACTTAAAATCAGTAAGAAAAACACCAAAACAGAAGTTGAATAGAAAAATATGGGAGAAGTTGGACCTTAAATCGATCCTTCTGTAGCCGAAAATGAATGTGGTCGTCGGTAATAATGGAGCTCCACTGGCGACCGGTAATGGTTGCCTGACACGAGTCCTGTGACGCAAACAAAGGTCATTAGACAATTGAAGGGTGCAATCGCCAGTAATCGTTTAGAAGAAAGAAAGGAGGCAAAACGAGCAGGAAAGAGATGTAGAGGGGGGGGGGGGGGTATCTTCGAAAGCCTTTAGCGGCGACAACCTTGGAGGGAAAAGTCAACGCCTTTTTTCTCATTTTCTACAGTTGGATGAAAAGCAGATCGAAAGACAGGGTTCATTTGACGCAGATCAATATTGTATAAGCATTAGCGGCGACAGCCACTATTATCGGCGACATATTAGCGCGTTAATTACGTGTCACCACTAATGCTTTCCTTTCTTGTAGTGTTTGTAGTAGTGAAAGGAAATGCCAAACTTTATCGTGTTGCATCTATTGAAGTTTTTTCGCACTATCTATTTTATGATCTTACACTAATGTTTGGAGAGTACTTATATACTGTGATTATCTTATAGATAATGAATGGATGATTTTGGTTGTTGTAAAATGAAAATTTTATCTAGTATTTTTCGAACATTAATTTCACATATATTAACAACTAGACTTAAACACAGGACATAAGAAATAGAGAAACACCTAATACGACTTGGAAAAAAACGCTTTTGGTCGACACACCCTAATGAGGTAAAATGCCTGTTTTGGTTGTTTTGAAGCTAGTGAGGGTATTTAGAAATAGAGAAACACCTAATACGACTTGGAAAAAAACGCTTTTGGTCGACACACCCCTAATGAGGTAAAATGCCTGTTTTGGTTGTTTTGAAGCTAGTGAGGGTATTTAGCTATTATTAAACCTTAAAAACCAACTATTTTCTTGTCTCTCTCAAATTACTCAACATTTAATCCCAAATATTTGTATTTTCTTCAACTTCGTTGCATTGTAAATATTATTATCAGTAGTGGAACTTTAGGTAATATGCGCCGCTCCTGATTTGGATCTTATATATAAATCTCGGTGTGTTTATCTTTAATTTTATTTTTTTAATTTAGGAATTATTGTTCATTCTCATAATATATTAGTGATTTTTCTTTTGACTAAAGTTGTTATTTTATTATCAAAGACATTTGAAGATCAGGATGTTGGGACATTTCAGTTCGGTTTAATTTTACCAATATTGGCAAACTTTGCTTGGAAAAAATATTTATTGTTGTTCACTTATTAACTGTTTTATCAACAAAGACGGTGGTGGTGTAGTGAACCTTTTAATTATATGTTTTGGTAAAAAGAAGTTTCTATATTGTTTGCAATTTAATCAATATATTGATTTTTATTAAATATAAGATCACTAATAGACATTTAACATGAAAATCTTGTTTTTAAAAATATATAAAAAGACATAGGTATAAACTTAATAAAATAATATTAACGAGGCGTTAGTATGCAAAGTTATACATGATTGGAATTACAATATTATTATTTCTAATTAAATTCACGACCATTAAATCGTGTCAAGCAAACTATACAAATTATGTTTAATTACTTGGTTTGATATATATACTTAATAACTTAAACCAACAAAATACAATACTCAAGATTACAAGTAAGTACTGGCCAACTATAAATTAAATATGTAACATACAAATATATTTTTAAGCACTAAAAGACAATAGACAGAAACCATGTATTTTACAACATTACAGCATGTGATTATCAAAACTTCAATCATGTCAAGAAAGCTATACAAACCCTCAAATTCTTTATTATTATTTTTTTCCCTTACTTAATTACAATATGAAGTTCATGATTGTCTATATATGTGAGAACACAATTTCCCTAAAATAAAATTAATTAATTTATCCTTTAATAATTCATATTAATATCATAATATGATCATTATTAAATTTGAACTTATTACCTTACTTTCACTAGTATGGTGGCCGGCCGTGAGCCCAAGCAAAAGCTTCATGGTTCATCTGTCCACCACCATTCGGGATCAAATTCGGCTGCATATTATACCCTGCCATCGGATTCTGATCACCCATTCCGAGTTGCGGTGGTGATCCACCGCCACCTAGCCCAGGTGTCACGCTATCCGTTTCCTCCTCTTCCTCAACCGGGAGTCTTTCATAGGTAGCGTTGGAGAACGTGGCGGCTATGACCATCACTGGTCCTGATGCTACCAATGATCCCACCACGCTACCACCCACAACCTGGCCCTGGCCTCCAGATAAGTATATAGTGAGCCCGGTGGATCCAGGTGGTGCAGGACCCGGTAAGAAGGCGCCGGTTAGGGATAAAATCTCGAACCGGCCTTGTAGAGCCATGACTGAGCCAGGTGCCGAAGGTTGTCTTAGGGTTACGTTCATGACTGTGCCACTAGCACTCATCACGCACACACCGCGTTGTCGTTTTCGGCTAAATTGAGCTATACTTTCTGCGATATCGGTACCACTCGCTACCTCCATGACGTGGCTGCGGAGGGCGTTGGGGCTATCTCTGGTAACGAAAATCGGTGGTTTTGGTTTGTTTTTGGACCCAGGAGGTCGGCCTCGTGGCCGACGGTTAGAAGGATCGATTGCACCTTCTCTTGGATCATCGCTGTTGTTGTCTCTTTCATCTTCTTCACTTCCTGTGGTGGCATCGTTCATTGAGATACCCAGATCTGGCTTCTTCATGGCCTGAGATGATGTTTCTACGCCGGCCACGTTGACCTGGCCGGTCCACCATCGGTTAGACATGATATTGATGTAGAAAGATGGAAATAGTCCGATGATCAGAGCTAGCACTCAAATTATCTGGATTGAACTATTTGGTGTATAGGAGCAAATAAGTCTGGAGCTAGCTTTGTGAACTATTCGTTTGGTGGGTTTGGGTGTATCTATCAAAGGTTTTATATTTTATAACAAGTTGCTTTCTCCCCCTCCCTCCCTCTCTCCCACCCTCTCTCCCACGCTCTTTAAATACATAGATATATACTTTAACCTTGTTTTTATCTAAAACTAAAGACTGTCTTTAGGTTTTGGTGGGTGGTGTATACTACAAGGTTTTATAATCTCTCTCTCTCTCTCTCTCTCTCTCTCTCTCTCTCTCTCTCTCTCTCTCTCTCTCTCTCTCTCTCTCTCTCTCTCTCTCTCTCTCTCTCTCTCTCTCTCTCTCTCTCTCTCTCTCTCTCTCTCTCTCTCTCATTAAAAAAAATTGACCTAATAATTTTTATAATTAGTTTATATAAAAAAATCTCACTTTGTTATTATTAATAAGTTGAAGAATTTACTTAGTTTTAATAAATTAAGTAATTAATAGTTCTATATATATATATATATATATATATATATATATATATATATATATATATATAATATATATATATATATATATATACTAACATTTTCATTTTTCTTTTTAAAATTGACATAAAAATAATAATCTAATATATTTTGAACAAATAAGTTGAAAAAAAAAAATTTATAATTTAAAGTTTTCTGTTAACAAAATAAGCTTTATCTCGACATCCAACGATATATTATTAACATGATAGTTTATTTGTTTGATATAACATTTTTAAAAATCTAAAACAATATAAAATTATACTTATGCGACAACAATAAAAATTATTAACCATAGTATTAGATAAAATTGAATATTTAGGAGAAGTTTAGAACATCAAACTCTACTGAGACAACAACAAAAATACTAAAAGTTAACATGAATAAATTTTTATAACGTCAACTCTAAAGTAGAAGTATCAAAACATTGGCTTAGCCTTTGTTTTATGTGGCCTAAGCAACGGCCAAAATCATATATGATCATCGAGTCTTTAAGAAGAGAAGAAGGTGATTGTAACACTTAGTTTTAGTAATGTTCTAATTTCGAGACATCGGACCGAAATTCAATAAAGTGATGGTATTGGGATTCAAAGGAATAGGGTTGAGGCCTCTTTCAGATGTTGGTAATGTTTGATTAAGTAATTGAATCTCATGATTTGTGCCGTGAAGCAAATGGTAAATTTGGAAAGGTGATATATTGGGTTTCTTGTATAAATTAAGGATTTTAGTTTAATATGTTTTTGGTCCATAGTAACTAGATAAGATTGTGGGGCTCTTCAATACATTTCCGTGCATATAAAGAATGTTGAAAACAGAGCTGAAGTGAAGAAGCTATGGTTATTTGAAGTTGAGTTGGAAAATGGGAGCCTTGCACTATGCAAGGTGTACTCTAAGTACGTAGCGCATAATCGATGAAGGTTGGGACGTATTTCTAGTAGGCTATGCAGGGTGTAGCCTGTGGTACGCAAGGCGTAACTGCACAGAGTAAATACACCCTAATATCGGGGTTTTGAGCCATATTTAAGGACTGTAATGTGATATCCTCTAATTTTCAGAACCAATTAAACTTTTCTTTACGCTTTAAAAAATCATTTATTTATATTTGCAGAAGATCTCAGTACAAAATATCATTTTGATTACAAATTTTTGTTTCTAAAATGTTAAAACCCTAAGGATATCATAATCAATACAGATACATAAGTTAAAGCATAAAGACATGATGGTCTTAAATACTATTGCAAGATGTTTCTTAATCACTCAACATGCTAATCAAGTTCTCGTAGCTTAGGTCTTGATACATGTGATGTATCTAAACTAGGTGGGTCGGGTTAGGGAAACCTGGTGAGACACATAGGGATTTCAATCCCACGATATTGATATCATAATATCCCTTGATTATCAAACCCGCAAAACCAGCCGTTTACTATGTTGCCAATGAACCTTTACCAAAGGTATCTCCTTGTTGTACATCACATTCATCTTTCTCTCCTCTAACACTACCGGTCTCTCATTATAATTCAGGCCCCTCATTGACCTAAATATCATCCAAAGGCACTACTGCCTCATTGTCCAGCATGCACTTCCATAACTGCGAAACATGGAAAATGTTTTGGACCTGGCTAAGCTCGATCTAAAAATCGAACCGGTAGGCCACCTGGCTACCCTAGCGATCACACGAAACGGTCCAATATATTGAGGACCCAATTTTTCCTTCTTCTTGAAGCTTGTCAGACCCTTCCATGGTGAGACCTTTATATCGCCGACCTGGAATTCCAACTCTGATCGACACAGTTTGACATAACTCTTCTGTCGACTCTGAGTTGTCTGTAGTATCTACCTAATCTTTTGAATAAGCTCTATGGTCTAAAGGGCTACCTCGGTCCTTCCTATGACTCTGTGACCAACCTGCCCCCAACAAACTGGGGTATGACATCTTCGATCATATAGGAGCTCAAAAGGCGAGGCACCAATGTTGGAGTGGTAGTTATTGTAAGAAAAATTTGCAAGTGGTAGGTAGGAATCCCAACTCCCACTAAAATCTATGATACAATCCCACAACATATCCTCAAGTGACTAAAGGTCTGCTCACTCTGGCCATCGGTCTGCGAATGACAAGCAGTGTTGAAGTATCGTCTTGTGCCCAGTTTGTTGGAGCCTGAAAGTGAAACTCTAGCAATCCTTGATACTAATTCCGAAGTGTGTTTGGGTTCGGAAATTGTGATACTCCGAAAGTTGTCTGGAGCTGAAGAAAAGAAGTTATGGAGAAAGGAGAAAAGAAACCCATTCCGAAGTGTCTCTCACGTTCGGAATGCTAGCAGATCCGAAGCATGCTATTTTGTTTCTTGTCATTTATTATATTTGTATTGATGTAACGTATCATTAGACATAGCATTTTATACTCACAGACAATCAAAATGTCAGAAATAGTTCTTTTGTCCAGTCCTATGTAAGTTACTTGGTTAATTCGTTGTAATACTCTCTCCTATATATAGGAGCTTTCAATACAAGTCAATGGCGGATCTTTTCTCTCACTGTTAGCAATTTTATCTTTATCACATGAAATACATTTCTCTTGTTCATTTATTGATCTTTCCTTGATCAATGTTCACTTATTCGTACTTAATGTCTTGATCATTTGTTGAATTAATTATCTAAGACTTGACTGGTCTTTCTAGCATTGACTTGAACATCTATTTGCAAGCAGACATTGATCTCAAGCATTCACTCAAGGTTTGAGTTTTCAAACCTTGTCCCTGCGCAAAGATCGTGTTCTCTCAATTGGTATCAGAGCTTGATTGGTTGTCCTTTGAATCCATAAGATCAGATTATAGTTGGTTTGAACTTACTTTGGTATTTCAACCATATTTGTGTTAAGGATAAAAGTTCTTCTATATGCCACTTAATATTGAAGATATCTTGACTTCAATGGCTACTTCAAATTCTCAACAAATAATTTCAATGCAAATCGCAAATAGCATGGGTGGCCCTACATGTGCCCCATTGCTAGTTGTGGAAGAATATGATCACTGGAAAGTCAGAATGGAAATATTTCTTTTGGCCAAAGATAAAGGTGAAGAGATTTGGAGATCCGTGAAAGAAGGTCCACATGTTCCTGTTAGAACCGTTGTAAGAGATGTTGTTCCTCAGCTTATGGGTCAAGATGAAGCTCGTCCAGCTCCTCTAACTTCATATGGTATTGAAAAGATGCATGTTGATCAAGTTGCCTTCTCGGAAATGGTGTTTGGTGTTCCTCCATCACTCTTTGAGCACATCAAGCTATGCAAATCAGCCAAAGAAATTTGGGACACTCTTCAGGATTTGATTGAAGGTTCAGAAAATATGAAGGACAAATGACTCACCTCCATTGTCAATGACTTTGATACTTTCACTACCACTCCAGGTGAATCCCTAGCTTCAGCTTCCAACCGATATCGAATCGTTGTCAACAACATGACTGCTTATGGGATTGTTCGAACTCCTCTCGAATACAATCTCAAGTTCATTAACAGTCTTGGTAAAGGATGGGGAAACGTAAAGTCTTGTCTCCAAATTAATAGTTCCTTAAAAAATTGAAACTCTATCAACTTTTTGATGAGCTTCAGGGACATGAATCCAATGTTGCTCAAACCATAAGAGAACTTTCTGGAGGACCACTTGCTCTAGTTAGTTCTTTTGAATCAACCATTGTAACGCCCGGTTTCGGGGCTAAGCATCTTTTACAATGTAATAGTCTAGGTCAGCTATTGTAACTCTTTTTGAAGTAATAAAGATGAAATATTTGAGTATAATGTGAATTATGTGTATTTATGTGCTTATTATTTAATTATAAATGTATAATTAAAAAGGAATAAAAATAAGCGTCAAAATTAAAGTGTGAGATAAGCCCGATATCTCTACATAAAGTTGTAGTGGTCGAAACAAGTATTACGGGGATATAAAGAACACCGAAATCCGAGTTATAACGAAGAAGTTATGACCCGTCGAAGTTTCACGACGGAACCGGCGCGACACCGGGAAGCATAAATAGTGAACTTACGATAGAGAGACTTTTAGCCTTAGAAATCTAAATGAAAGTCGTAGAATATGTTAAACTAAGAATGTCCATAAAAAGAACGCTCAAATCTGACTTCGTATGAAGAACGTTGTGAAATTTTAACGGACCAATCTTGTCCCTGCCTGTTAAAAATATAACTTTAAAAATAAAGTCAAAATTAGCCGACGGAGTCTAAATGAAAGTTGTAGAGTACGTCTCCACCTACGCGTGAATATAAAGAACATCAAAAACAGAGTTCGTATGAACGAGTTACAAGTTATAATAGCATATTTACGTATTAAAATAAAGTATAAATCATATATACGTACACATATATATATACATATGTATATATCATTAGAAAGGTATCGATGATGCGGCG